GTGCATTCTTGTAATATCATGACTGCATTTTAGTCAAGAAAAAAAATAACTAATCTTTGCCTGGCCTTAATCAGGACGTCTTTTCTTTGTTAATCATAGAATTGACCTGAATTCAAAGTCCAGATACACAGAAGCTGTAAACACGCTTGTCAAAAAAGATGGCCGCCCTGGGTGCTGACGTCACTTTGAACTGTGGAAACATAAGAAGTGCTTCAGCGGAGAAATTCCAAATTTTCCCAAAATGACATTTTCAAAAAGCATCAATAAAATTGATGAATCGCTCAGCCCTACAACTACTTGTTCCACACTGTTTAGAAAGAAAAGTGCTTTAAATGTGAACATCCAGGTTTTAAATTAATAACACTCATGCTGGTTAATTTTTGTAAACTTCTAACCAGAACTGTTCTGTTTTTTCCTGTCCGTTTCTTTTGGGGGGGAAGGGGTTGTTTGTAGAAAAAAATAAATATAATCCTTTCTGTCTTCCAGATTCTCCTCAGAATGAAAGATAACGAGATAGAGTATCTGCACAAGGAGATCAGCTGTCTCAGGAACGAGCTTCAGTTTCTAAACATGGTACTGTCACTTGATTTACCTCTGAAAAATACTCCACAGTGTTAAACTTGACGCAGACATCGAACCGCTCAGACAGAGGAACCCTGTAATTTAAAAAGCACAGCTCTGTTTTTTGTTTTTTGTGGATCTGATGCTTCGCTGTCGCAGCCTGAGGCCTCTCTGAAGATGACGCCATTTCTTTCTCCTCTGCTCATTGTTGTGCAGGAAAAGCAGCTGGCCTGTGAGAAATATGCAGAGGTGCACGAAGAGCTGAACGGGATGAAGGGCCGCACGGAGCGCGAGATTCAGAGTCTGAAGGAGCACCTGAGGCTGGCCATGGCCGCCCTGCAGGAGGGGCAGAAGCTGGGCAACAGCCTGGACCACTGACTAGCCGCCGGGCTGGAGCCGGACCGTTATCCAGGCAAAGGACGGAACTCTTTAGAGTCTTTTGTTTTTGTTTTCATTAATACTTCAACCTTTCTTTGTTCCCAGACTTTAGTTTTTCAGCCTGCAGGGCGGCTGGATCCAAAGGAAATACCCGTGCGGGACTTTTACGGGCGTGCGTCGGAACGCGAACGCGTCTTTCAAGCCGATTTGCCAACGAGTCGTTTTGTCGGCTTCATTACACTGGGCCTTAATTTGTATTCAAAAAAACAACATTCAAGAAAAAAAAATTAAAAGTGCACTTTTCACTTTTGGTTTTGCTCTTGAGAGTGCTAGCTTGTATCGATGTGCATTTGGTCTTACAACTGGAATATTTAGTCGTCCTCTGTAGATGGTTTGTACCGTCTTCATTTTGAAAGCAGAGGTCAGACTCTTACTGTTTTTTTTCTTTCCTGTTTTTGCGAAGGTGGTGCACTTTCTCAAGAAACAAGAGCTTTTTCATATTTGCTGTTATTTTTATTCCTGTTTAGTTTGTAAAAGCGAGTTTCTGGAGAACACATTGGGATTCTGATGTGGGAAAAAAAAAAAAAGCAATTTCTAACTCTGGCAGACTAAATGGGAGAATTTGATTTGATTGTTGAGGAAAACTCAGGCTTCTCCACACAAAAAAGTTGACTGTAATCTAATTTCCACAAAATATTTATAAGCCATGGTGGAGAAATCGCAAACTTTTCTGTCTCCGTTTATCATTTATGAGCATTTTCTGCTTTGTGCCACCACTGCAACAAATAGCAGGTGTTGCATCAATGAGCCATTTATTATTATTTTTTATGAATATGTATATGCTTTTCTTATTGAAAAGAACTGTTGTGAAAAGAGCAACTACCTACTTTTTGAAAGCAATTTCTTATTTAAAGCCTCCATGGTTTTTGTAAATCATGATCGGTTTTGGAATCAATAAAGTTGCTTCTACAGAAATCCATGAAAGCGTTGCAATTTTTTTTAAAAAAGTGCCTTCCAAAAGTGTTCACCTTTTCCCAACTTTCTTTTATTTCCTTGGCATTTTATGGTATAGCCTAGAGCAAAAAGTACTTCAAAATTGTAAAGTGAAAGGAAAAAAAATTCTACCTTTTTTGTCCCTGTATTTTTGCAAATAAAAATCTAAAATGTTTTGTGTTGCGTTCAGCCGCCTTCGTTCTGATGAGCCTAAATAAAACACGACCCTGAAACGCGCCGACTTCAGGGTGAAATGTGGAAACGTCATGCTGTGGAAATGCTTCTCCAAGTAAGAGTACAAATGCAACGAGTTGCCACTGTCGTTATTTATTGAACCAAATCAAAAAAAGCAAAACTGTTAAAGTTCACGCTACGAACCACAAATCGTTGCAATGCCTTGTAGTAGCTTTTTCTGTATTTTCTGCCCAGTTTTCTCTGTTTTTAAGTCCTACCCCAGAAACTTCAACTGAACTTAAAGGTCCAGACTTTGACAAGGCCATTGATGGTTTCCTTTGTCAACTTGGATATTGTAGCTTTTATATTTGTTTGTGAAAAGCGTCTTCTTTTGGATAGATGGGCTTACGGTTGACTTTACAAAAGGTTAGTGGAGGATTTTGCAGATGACTTAAGATCCCGGGCTGTGAATAAGTCTTAACCATCACCTGTCCTCCTCCATGTCTTTGCACTAAACTTGTGCTTGGTTTTTGCCAAATATCAGTATTATCGTCAAACATCTCTACTTTAGTCTCATCAAAGTAGGGATACATAATATGTCAGCGTTAATATTGGTATTAATAACAGTAAAACTGGAGCCAAAGCTAACCTGACATTCAATTAACTTTTTTTTTAACCACACTGAGTAACAAAAGTCTTTCAGTACTTCCTGGTATGATGCATTACCATTTTTTGATAATAATCCTCTGCTGTGACAAATGACGCAGGGAATAAATGTTTTTCCGAGAACCTTTTGAGTATCCAAGTCATTTGTTTTAATAAATACAAATTATTTACACAGTAGTGGGGAGTTTCATAACGAAAATGACTTTTATTCGTCTTCTGTTTTCCAATGAAAGTCTTTTCCAATTCATCTCGACGGTCAACAAGCCGTGTCTTGTATTGAGCCTGTCTGACCACTAGAGGGCAGCTGCGCTCTTTTCTTCAACCTCTGAAAGCGGAAACGCCTTCAACATCAGCAACTGTCATGGCGTCCACGGCGGCGACTCGAACTGCAGCTGGTGCTGCCAAAGTGGTGAAACCCATTCTCAGTCGGGACCTGGGCGAGGCGAAGCGCAGGGTTCGGGAGCTGTACCGGGCCTGGTACCGTGAGGTGCCCAATACAGGTACGTGGGCCGCGTCGCGGAGGCTGGAAGCCGGTGGCGACGGCGGCAGCGTCAAGGTCGTTCCTCTGGTTAACTGGACCGAAACTAGGACGGGGTGTTTTCTAGAGCTTTGGGGAGACGTCTTATTTAAATCTGAGTAAGCAAGAGCTGCAGGCTACAGGCATGTGCTACTTACAGGCATAATATATTGTTAAATCAATAGAAAGTGAAAATTTGCACGCATAAAAATGAACAAAGCAAACATAATAAACTGTGCGGCATAAAACCTGCCGTCAGCTGTTACACACCATCTCCACGGTGATACACGGTGGCAGCATCATACTGTGGAGATTGTTTTTGTCAGCCAAAAGCTTGTTGGAGCCTATAGCAGGACGTAAAGGCCCAGTATTATATATCCTCCAGGCACAAAGTGCCATTTTATAGAATAAATAAATGTTCCATCAAGTTGTTTATATGGCTTACATTTTGACTTCCTGATTTAATGCCTTGAAAATGGGCCTCTGTCTCTTTAAAATCTACTTTTTTAATTTTTTTAGTAATGACTTTGATTCTTTTGTTGATTACAGTATCCTGACGTCATTTCCTTGTAATAAAGCTGAACTCTGTGTGTCTGCAGTGGTGATGTTTCAGCTGGACATCACGACTCGCCAGGGCAGAGACAAAGTGCGGGAGATGTTCGACAAGAACAAACACGTCACGGACCCCCGTGTCATCGACATGCTGGTCATCAAGGTAAATAAATGTGACAAGACGCTTGCTTCACCAACCCAACACGCTCCTACTGTGTGCGGTCTTGACTCGAGGGTCGATGTCGGTGACGTTTGAGTCGGGTGCGGATGTTCGTCGCTTTGAACTGTCTCTTGTTCTCAACCGCAGGGTAAAATGGAACTGGAAGAAACCATCCACGTCTGGAAGCAGAAGACCCACGTGATGCGTTATTTCCACGAGTCCGAAGAGCCTCGAGCGACAGACTTCCTGTCCAAATTCTACAAAGGACACGACCCTTGAACTGTGTAGCTGACCTCTGACCCGTCTTTGCCCGTTTCCAGTGTGAAAGATGTTCCCCTTTGTTGTAAATACACACTTTAAGTCTAACATGCTTCCACCTGTTTTGTTTCAGACTTGATGAGAGTCGAATGAGATCCAGTTAAAGGGTTGCTTTGCTCTTGTGATCAAAATTTGTGCGTTCCAGGGTTGCACCAATAGATTGGCCCCATTTCCTTAATTTTGTGTGATCAGCTGATACTTGCAGGAGAAACCGATCTCTTCCACCTTCCCAAAGGTTTGAAAATCTGTGTAAAACTGGCGTCTGGCAAAATGAACTTTTTGAAGATGAGTAAAAGACCAGAAAACGTGGTGCACCGCTAATGCAGAATATTTGTATAGATGTCTCTAAGCAAGTTGAAGAGAAACGAGTTGACCTGATTTAAGGACTACTCAGATTTTCCCATTGATTATTGAGAAGAGTAAAAATAATTGATATTTTGATTATTCAATTAAATACCTGTTCTTCTTGGTTGATAACTCACTACTAGTTGGAGTACAAACTTCCTTTTTGAAAGTAGCATTGGTCCAAAATGGACAACTTTTCTTTTTTTTTTTAATCCTCTAAAAAGGCAAACGTTCCAACATTACCAAGTGTTACAGCTTAAAAACTGGCACTTGAATGAAGACCAACGATTGGGCAGGCCTAAAGCTATAACCTAGAGGAAATAAATATGGAGTTGATTGCCTCGATTTCTCTTTTTATTAAGACTCTTGTAGTGCACGCAAATACAGTACGATAGGAAAACAAAGCGGCAGTGTGGTGTGCGTCAAATGGGAGCAAAAACCCTGAAAGGAGTGCAGGCGGAGGTGATGTAGGGGGTCACGGCAACAGGACCTCCGGGAAGGCATTTCCTCTACGTTGGTGATGATCACTGACCCTTGGTGTTGATTGAAAGCGTCCATCACCTGCAGAGAAAATGAGACGCCAGAGGTCAACCTGGGGGACTTCGCAGAGCAGAACAGCAGCAGAGAGGAACCCAGGGTCACCTGGTCAGTCGTCGTCGTCGTCGTCCTCGGGAACAAATATGTCGTGCTCCTCCAGCAGCGCCGCGAAGCTCTTGCTGATCTGAGTCCCCACATACAAGAAGGGAATCACGACCAGAGCGATCCGGAAAAGGCCGAAGGGGGTCTGCCGCACGAGCCCCACCACGAAAACACTCTCATTAGTTTAAATGGCAGCTGTGAGACAGACTTCATTACAGACTCGTTCCTCCCTTCACAGGAGTCACAGTTGACTCTCTCTCTCTCTCTCTCTCTCTCTCTCTCTTTTCCTGCTGTGTTCATTTCATAACCTGGCTTCTTTCTGTCACCGCACGCCATGTTCTCAACAACAACACGCTGCTCTCGCTCTCACCTTCCTGGGTTTGGGCAGAAGGGCGCCGCTTGACGTGCACACGGCCGTCCGGCTCGGCGTCACCACGGAGGGGCCCGGCGGTGAGAGGGGCCCGTTCCCGACAGCCGACAGCCTGAGCAGGCGGCCGAGTACAGCCGAGGCCATGTTCACAGCTGCTTGACAGGTGACGCCGCAGCAATGCGGAAAAGACGGACTGGGAAAAAAAAAAAAACAATGAAAAAAAAATGGTTCTGCAGATTCGCTTTGCAACAACGCCATCTGGTGTCGAGAGGCTAGAACTGCACCCTCCTGTTTAACAACATATGAAGTTTAAGCCGTGACAGCTTCTAAGAATAGATTCACTACACCGAATGTTTCATTTTTAACTGAGGAATATTTAGAAGTGACGCTAAATGGAGCAACATTTAATAAAACTAGACTTCAATCGACTCAAGCTTCCTTATTTTCTGTCTCCAGAATCTGCTTGCTCTGAGTGAGTCCTGCTTTCTCTCCCCTAATACTTTATACTCTTCTTTAGTAATTCATTTCATGTTTACATTTGATCTCAACTCCATTCATGTTGTAAGATAATAATGCTCCTATATGAGAGAAACTTCTGGGTTTTACGTCTGGCATTCAGGAACTTTGTACAAGACCTTTCAACCCTATAAATCTTTAAAAACAACAAAAAAACCCAACAGAATCTCTCTTAAACAGTCACAAAAACAAATAGTAAATGTACTTTTGCATGTCCAAAAACAACTTTGCAACAAATTTGACTTCCTGCTTTAAGTCTCTTTCAGCTGCTATCAGCTCCTTTTATGCTTCTACTCTGCAGATATTTGGTGTCTTTCCCTATTATTTCCCAAATTCATTTTCAGAAGTCCATGTCTTTTGCTATTAAAAAATAAATAAATAAATAGCCACAAGTAAATTTCAGTACCACTTTTATTCGGTGTGCCGTTTCCAAGCATACAGAATTTGATGTTTGTTGCTAAATACACCGTAGCAACGCGCATACAAGAAGTATCTTATCAGTCACCGGAATGTCAGGAATTTTTGTCCCCTCGGGCTTCCAGATAACAGCCTCCACTTTGCGTAGGAACAAGTAGCTTAACTGTGCGTACAGTTTGGGTTGACTTCCAATTGCGTTGCGTAAAAACCCCCTAGCTTATTCCAGCATGTAATAAAACATCCCTCAATTGTACCATCCTTAGAAAATAGATAAAAGAAAATAAATAATATGCCTTAATAAATATTTACACCCTCCCGCTAGTATAACTTGGTGTTGAAAATCAGGCAAATGACAGAAGCTGCATGACAACAAGTTATTGGTGGACGTGAACAATAAATGTGGAAGACCTATGTACAGAATGTCAGTGCATTCAAATGTTCTGGAAGCAAAAATATCAAGTTTTAAATACAGAACATAGTTGTTCTGCTTCCGTGAAATGAACATTAAGAGGAAAATAATTTAATTCAGACATTAAAAACAAAACAAATCAACTTAAAGAAACATTTGATACAGAAAAGAAAGATTCACAGTAACGTAGAACTTCTTGTCGGAGCTAACAGAATGTAAACAGCTTTCAATGCTTTGTGACCCTTTAGTGCAGAAGAAGAAGTGATGACGACTCATGACGTTCCAGCGCTATATCACTGCACACACACAAAATAAAAAGCATTCAGTTATCACTCTGTCGGTTCGTAGATGAAAATGTTACAAAAACAAAGTATTAGTACAGCAAAGTTACCTGAGGCTTGAAGGAGAGGCGCCTGAAAAACGCGGCAGCGACTTTCCCAGCCGCCTCGGTTTCCTGGTTTTCGCCCAGCGGGACGATTTGTCCCGACCTGATGGCGGCTCTGAGGCTGGTGCTGTCCACTATCTGGGCGCTGGTCTCCGAGCCGGTCGTGGGCCGGGAGGACACGGTGATGTAGGTGGCGTCTTTCAGGTACTCCAGGTAGCTCACTGTCAGAGAGAGCGATGGATGTCGCACTGGAAACGTTTCTGCTAAACTATTTCAACGTGCCGGTCCACGTTCTCAACCAATAAAAGTAGACACGAGAGTGAATTGTGAAGCAAAACTCGGTTAAATTGGATGGAAGGAATTTTTTTTTTTTTTTGAAAAGCAGCTTTTCCAAGTCTTGTCAATTTTTCTCAGATCTGAACTTTGACTGGACCGTTCTGACTTGGTTAAGTGCTTTATTCAAACAAATGTGGTTTAAATTGATATTTAAACCACTTTTTTTCTAAAGGTTATGTAATATTTGCAGCTCAAAGTCAGTCTTATTTAGTTAGGCTGAGGACAAAAATGCCTCTTTGGGCTGTAAATCTTGCTGCTATAATGTGAAAAGCAAAAAGATTTTAAATGGAGCATAAATACTAATACAAACTTGCAAATGATTTCATTTCAAAACATTGGCATAAAGATGAAGCAAAGTGGAGAAGTAACTCTGTTTGTCTCACCTGCAGATGTGACCGCTGTGTCTGTGGTGCTGCTGAGCTGCAGCAGCGCCGCAGGATGCGCCGGATGCAGCAGGAAGAGCTTCCTGATGAGCGGCTCCGCTGCAGCAACGCCCGGCGCCATCTGGACACAGTTCGGCACAAGTCACGCATGACGTTTTTAATCGCTCGGTCTCAGGCCGCAGACTCACCGTCGTCCTGGGAACGTTCCTCTGCGCTCTGATTGGCTCGCTGGCCCAGAACAGAAAGACCGATTGGCCGGTCGAGGTCGAGATGGCGGACGCTTCCAAAACGAGACGAGGGCACACAAACTCAGCCTTCCAGAGGGGCGTCCCGCTCGCCCCGCTGATGATCAGCGCCTAGCGGACGAAACTGCGAGTCTGAGTCGAAGTGCGTTCGCGCGAAAAACAAAATGTCTGACGTCACCAAAGAGTCGGAGAAGCAGATATTTACCGTCATGACGCCGTTTGCCGAATGCTGGACAAAAAGGTCCAAGACTCCATCGCTGTTGAAGTGACCCAAAGCTGGCTTGCTGTGGGGAAACATTTTTTCTCTTATTACATTCATACTATTCAACACATTGACTTCATATATGAAACTGTAAGATTCAATAACGCCATAATAATTTGCATTGACAGAAGCTTTCGTCCGTTTCACGCTGCTCAGACCTGTGAATGGAAGCGTTGCTGAAAGTCCACTGCTTGTGCAAGTCGCGCTGTCTGAGCACGGACAGCGTGCTGGCGCCGTAGAACAACACCCAGTCGCTCCTGGTCGAGTTCAGGTTGGAGACCGCGTCCAGACTGTTGCGGTTGTTCCCAAAACCGGCCACTAGGGGGAGCAGGAACTCCACGCGCTCTGATCCACTAAGAAGAAGAAAAAGAAAAAAGAAACAAAGAAAAAGAAAAAGGACGCAGCAAAAAGTGAGATCCCTCCATTATCTCGAACATGGATTATGGTGCATTGAGGCCGTTGTAGATCTTTTACATTATTTTTTCCCAGGAGAAGAAGAAATAAACGAAGGTCGTACCTGTAAATGGAGATAAAGGGGGAGGAAGTGGCGTTCTTCATGTTCTCCCAGCTCATATCCTTCCTCAAAACAAAACGCGTTTCGGGCATTTTGGCCAACGCCCGAACGTAGATGTCTTGCAAGGAGATGGCCTGGACGTTACCTGGAGACGTGAGTCGCAAACGAACTCGATCAGTTTCAGGCGTTTTTCGCTGCGGTTGAGCGTCCGGCCTCGCTCTGCCTCACCCAGTCCAAACAGGATGTAGTGCGCTCCTTGCTGGGTCTCATGCAGCAACGGACCGATGAGCTTCCCTTGACCTTTAAGGCTGAAGGGGACGGGACGTCCGATTTTCTTTCCCGTCTGTCCGGAGATCAAAGTCAGCGATAAATCCAAAGTCTGAAAGCGAACGTTAGAAACGCACGTCAACACAGAAATGAGTCGAACACAAATCCGGGTCCGTTTCGCTGTACGATGTGTAAGAATCGGGGGAAACGGACACGGAGAAACCTTTTAGAGTTGCACTCATTTTTTAAATGAAATGAAAGCTGAACGTGAAAAAGTCCAACAGTTGGAATGTTTTTACCTCATCAGCAGGTAGAGTAGCGAGAAGCAGGTCTGGGACGGAGTCACCCTGGATGTCAGGAAGCAACACAGCCTGGGATTCAATGTTTCTAAGGCCGACCGACCACAACTTCCTCCCTAAAGGGAGAACAAAACAAGAAAAAAAACCATCTTTGATCACATAGTAGGAGCTCAAGCTATTTCTATTTATTAAATAAATAAATAGAAATATTTAGATCTCAGTAATTAAATAAGAATTTTCAGATTTTCTGATCTTCAATTGTCTGCAGAATCCTTTAATAAAATTTTAAATGCTAAAGACAAATTATATCTTCCTTCAAAGATGAACAACCACTGAGCATAAAATTAATTTCCATGTTCCACAATTCATATGGCATGTATATTTATGTCTTGTTCTCCACTGCACGTTTTTTTATCTTAAAGTTATGTGGGGAGGATGGAAAAAAACGTGAGGAGAGGAAATGACTTCAAAATGAAAGCACGAATATAAAATTTAACAAGTTGAAGAATTCTTAAGTTGAAAACCAAAACCTCGACACAGACGTCGAAGTTTATCCAACTGAAAGTCTACAAAGCAGCCGAACAAATTCCAGTTGCAGAATTTAGATGGAAAATACAATTTAGGGGACGCCAAGTTTGCTAGACGTCTTCAATGTAGCAAAAACACTAAGCTGAAACGTCGCTGAACTGTTAGCGCATTAGCCACATTAGGAGAAGTCAAACAATGTAGTTTGTGAGACTCAGAAAGGTGATTCGTCACGAAGGCGATCCTAACCCGTGGCGCCGTCGACCGCCATGAGGTTGGACTTTCCGATAACGAGGCAAACGGGCGACGGCTGCGTGCTCAGCTGCAGACCGCACTGGAGGAACATGACGGGCTCGTTCAGGACTTCCCTCCACAGCACCCGGCCGCTGGCGGCGCAGACGGCCACCGCGCTGTAAACTGGAACAATGAAATCCTCTTAGAGGGGGTGGGGGGGGATAACATAAACCCAAAACACCCTTTTCGCAGAGCTCACCTTTGCTCCGTTGCGTTGCATGCGTGCCGTTGGCCCATTCGGTCACACCCAAAAGCACGTCCTCCACCAAATCGCCGTCAACGTCCCATAGAGCCAGCGCGGGCGGAGTGACGCCTGGACGGTAACCCGGGAGAAATGTTAGACAACTCCTGCTAAATCCACCAGATGCTTTTATTTTATTTGAAGCATCTGGAGTGGATTCAGAGAAAAACAAACCATAATCATAAGTGACTAAATATAAAAAGGAGACATGGCTGTCTAGACAGGAGGACTCCTCAGTAAGTCTTAAGTGCTGCTTTGGGGGTTTATTTTGCCCTGATTTGCCGACCTGCTAATAGGCGTTTGTGTATGTTTGACTGTAAACTGCAGATTTCTGAGTCATCCATACCCCCTGCGTCTCCCAGCGCTCGTTCCCACCGCAGCTTCTTCTCCAGCTCTGCCTTCTGGCAGGGGACCAGGAACGCACACAGCAGCACAATCAACATGGCGCAGGCAAGAGGCACCAGGAAAAACGCGCTCCGGATCGCATTTTTCGCTCTCTTCCTCTTCTCCTCTGCCTCGGAGCTGTGAGGGCCCAGCCCGGCGGCCCCAGACGGCCCGGCTCCTCCTCCTCGGTCCTCCCCGTTCCCCAGGTCGTCTCGGCTCCTTCTGGGCTTGCCGGAAACCCGGTCCGTCCACAGGTCGTCGTCTTCCTCCTCCTCGTCCTCGTCGTCCCGCGCCCCGTCGAGCCTTCCCAACCTCCCGTTGCGCGGCTTGGAGGAGGCCGGGGCCAGGCAGCCGTCCCTGCCCAGGCCGTTTCTGGGGTAGTTGAGCACGAGGTCATCCTCTTCGCTCTCGTCGTCGCTGTCTGCCTGGGTGAGCGGGTCGTACTCGCCCAGCTCTGAGCCCTTCTTCCCTGCAGGAACAAGAACAGAACTGGATCTGTTGCTATGACAACACAGAGTCCTCATAAAACCAAGGAAGTATGCTGTTACCATGGCCACTCGTACAATGCGAGCAGATGTTAGTATGTCATACATTATAACTGATTGGATATTGCATTGAGAATTGATCAAAGTTTTCTTTTTAATTTTCTTACTAGGCAGCTTCTGCAGTTATTTCCACTATCTCACTGGGAGTGGAGAAGGAATGTTTGGAATTAGCACATTCAGGTGCAGAAACTCAGCTTTTTTCCAAATTGCAGGAAGTGGTCTGTCATTCACCATCATGCAAATTCTGTTCATTTTTAGCATTATTGGCATATTTGTTTATTTCTCGAGTCTATGTTTGACTTTAGACACTTTGTTTATGATGATGAAGAAGCTAAACATAGTCTGAAACTGTCATGGAGCCATTGCACAATAATAACAAAAACGACAATAAAATTGTATTGAATGAATGTTAATTACATATATATATATTTTCCATTTATTTTCTTTTGTAGCACACCGTTTGTAAAACACCATCTTCTTCATCCTCTGCCTTATTTTCCATCTGCAGGTTTTTAGCCGGGTAAACATTAGCTTACATTAGCTCGCTGTCGGCTAAACGTAGGACTGAAGAATAAACTGGTTTCCGCCATATGTAGCATCGTCATTATTCACAAAAATGTGATGATGCCGACCAGTTTGCGCCTCACAAAACCAGCGAATGAACCAACACATTGTAATTAAACGCACCAAACCGTTCGTGGCGCTGCCATTAGCGACCTTTCGCGTTCTCTCTTTTTCTCCGTCCCTCGGTGAAATAAGGAGGGATAACTGTCGCAAAGCTCACCTGGCAGTTTGAGGGCGCGGGACAGCGCTGCAGCCATTGTTTCTCCTCTCGACATCGACCAGAGCAGCGAGGACGACGAGCGAGCGCAGGAACCAACCAGCTGTGCTCAAGATGCATTCTGGGAGTTGGAGTTTTCCCCCTGAGGCTGGGGTGGCGCGTGTTGTCCTGCAAATAACCCAGGGGAACGTAAGGCAGACTGTTTGTGTAATTTGTGGGGCGTTTTCCATTCAAATTATATAACTGAACAATGATAATCATTTTAGAGTTATTACAAAATCCATGTAAAAAATACAATCATATTTGTGCTCATTTCCCCCTTTGAAATCAGAAAACTAAATTTGTTATCAAACAGCTATATTATGGGACTTGTCATTCTTGCAAAATGAGATATAGGAGTTGGTATAAGAAACATAAAACCTGTAAAACTTAATTTCAATTGCTTGTTCTTTTCGTATGGATTGGGGTCGGGGAAGGTCCTGGTCCCGCAAGGCATCTCGCGAAGTAAGCGAGTCACCTAAACAGGCAGACCTATGCCCTTTCAAAAATTCCTCTCGTATTGTGAACGAGGATACGGGCGTCACCCCGCATCGTTATTTTCCTTACTCATCAGTTTAAGGCATAACCAAAGGTACGTCGATTAGCGGCTCTAGTCATCTTGACATGGCGTTCTCAGTCACGGTGCCAAATGAAGGTGACCGACTGGAAAGTAATTATGTTTGCTCTAATATATTACAATAGTTGAAGTAATATTATTGAAAAAAAACTGTCCTCTGATAAACATAAAACAATCTACTTGCCTAAAAATGCGTATATATTTATCAAAAAGGGGCGCAAAGCCTTATGGGTAATCCAAATTCCCTTGTGTTTCGTCGAGAGCAACTAATAACAGATTATAAAATAGTGAAACGGTCAATTTTAACAATTAAAGGTACGGAATACTTAATGTTAAAGCCCACGATGGTTAAAGGAATAAAACTGCCAAGTCTGAACAAGAATTTATTCAGTCCTCAGAGACTCATTTTCGTCCTTCTTGGTCTAAATCGGTGTCCGTAAGGATTGTCAAAAGCTTCTGTGACGCGCACGCTCAGAGGTAATAGTGTATGGAGAAAATGGCAGACGTCTCGTTGGATGAAGTTATACGGCGGCGCGGCATTAACCAGAAACCTCCACCTAAACGGTACGTAAAATGCAGTTGAGTTTTAAATCATATTAATGAAGGATTTGTGAAGCTTTTTGGAGCAAAATTGAAAGAACACTGTGAAAATAAAAGCTGCAGTTCGTTCTCTTTTACGGTATGCTAAACGCTAAGCTAAGTAGCAACCTCTAGCAGGAGGCCTTTAGAAATGAATCGTTTAAGTTTGGAAAAACACGACGTAATCCAACTTGTAACGCCTAAATCTGTAGGTGAGTGCAACAAAAGCCCACTAGTGCATTATTGCGTCACGTTTACGTCGCCTTTTGCTTTTATCTTCTCTCCTTTCGGTTAGCTCTGCTAATATTTTTTCTTGACGTCAAATTGTGATTATTCTATCACTTCTTGTGGAAATGTGGCTCCTGCAGGCTCTGCTCTGTTAGCATATGAGCTATATCAACATTAATCGCTTTCTACAAGGTAACCACTGTACACTGTTACTTTACACAGAAACAAACTGAAGTCACATCCAAACATTGCAGGAGACAAGCAATCTGAATGTACATTTCTAGCGCTGTTTTAGAAGGTAAAGTTAAGTGCAACAAAATTACACTGCATTTCAAAATGACAATGTTTCATTTATTTATTTTACTTTTTTCAGTTTTAGAAATATACATGCATTCAACATTCACTCTCCCTCCAGAAAAAATAAAGTACAGAGCATCTGGTTGGACAAGAGCAATTAAGATGACAAAATTTGATAAGATCTAAATCTTGAGTGGCCTGATATAAATCTTGAATTAAAAGTATTTTCCCCTGTCTGGATAAGCGATTGCCGTAGAGCAATATTTGCAATTCCGGATTTCATTCTTTATGTGATTGACCATGTGAATAAAATCACAGCTTATGAACTTGAGCGTGCTTTAAGTGTTGATTCAGACCTTTCATTTGTTTCTCTTTTTGTCTGTTTTTTTAAATAATCCAGATTGCAAAAAAACCCAGAAAAATATGTAATCGCAATTCTATTGCTGATTCTATTGGAATTGACATCGCAATTCTGATGTCAATTCCATCTGTCCCACATGGTTTCTTTTTCTTTTCTTTATTTTTGAGTATTCATTTGTCTCAACCATCCCTTTGTCAGTGCGTCTCTTTGCTTTTCTGTCCAGCTGATAGTTTTTCTGTCATTTACATGAGGTTTGTGCCCATTAGGCCCGTGTTCGGACGGCTTGGGGCAGGAGATGCAAAGAATTTTGATGCCAGGCAAAAAATTGGGCTGAACGATGCAAGGCAACGCCTAGGAGTAGGAGTAGGAGGAGGAACAGGTAAGGAGTTGTTATGCCTCCGACTGTAAACAACAGCAGCTGAAGATTTAAGATTTCCATCTCTGCCCAGGTTTTCAAGTGAAGGACGCCAGAGAGAAGCTGGTCCAGAAAGACGCTCGGTTCAAAATCCGCGGCAGGGGAGGGGCAGCGGCGGGAGGCGTGCAGGACGCCCGGCAGATGATCAATTCGCGCAAGCAGGGGCTGAGTCAGAGTCAGTTCGGCTCCCCAGCGCAGACCACACTAAAGGCGGCGATCGTGCAGCAGCTGCAAAGCAAGACCGCCGTACCACAGATCCAAATCCAAACCGGCAACAACCTCGCCAGTGCAAACGCCAGGCAGTTCACAACTACCGTACAAGGACTGATTCCCCGAGTCAGCGCGACACCACAGCTGACCAATAGCGTTCGAGTAATGGACGCCCGTGACAGGCTGAGCCTCAAGAGGAGCATGGGAGGAACACAGACGCAAACAGCTGCGGAGCCGCCTCTAAAAATAACCAAGACCATCCAGGTGAGGGTGCAGAAAGTTTGTCTTTCTTTTTTTCCCTTGTTTTGATGAATCTTAAAAATGCACGATCAAGCTCTTTTAACGATTACCGACTCGCTTTTTAGCAACGTCCAGCTGGGACTTTAGGGGGAATTCGTGCGATGACGCAGGTACGCCTGTTTTCATTTTCAAAATACAAGATATTATTTATCTTCACCGTTGGTCACGGCTGTAAATTGTGCTGCTTAATGAATGAATCTGCTCCTCTCAGCCTGCCGTCAGTAACCTCGACAGCATCGCCAGCAAACAAATAAAGATAACGACCGCCAACAACATGCTGCAGTCCCGGGTGAGACGGTCTTACAGTTCCTTAAACATTTCAAAGAAGCGTTTTCATATTTCCACTGGTTCCCACAGAAATAATAATCATTAAAAAAAAAAAAACGCTTCATACAGACCGGCCCTGCAGGGTCCATGTTCTCCATTACGGCCCCGATCACTAAGGTGGTTAAAAATGACGCCTACACGGCCCCGCGGCCCCCGGTCCCTGTGGCCCCCACCCGGCCCAACACCAGCACGGCGGCCGCTCGTTCCTCTGCTGCAGCGCTGCAGCCCGTGTCCAGGACTCTGCAGCAGAGCGCAGCGGAGACCAGCGCCGCAGCACCGACTCCTCCACAGGTACCACCTGCAGCCGGCATCCACACGACTGTCCTCCTGTCACATCGTCATCCTCCTCTGACTGCTCTTCACTTTACCAATATGGTGTCTGATTTTAAGTTTCCTTCGGGGGAGAAAAATATATGTATAACGACCAAGTTGCATCAAACATTAAAAGAAAATTGTATCAAGTGGAGTTTTTTTTTTTTTCTTTAAAGCCAATTTTTTTACTTTTTTGAGTGAAAAATCAGTGTCTTCTATGACAAAGTCTAGCTAGATTACCATGGGTTTCATTTTAGATCTCCCTAAGAAGCGTCCCATATAACTTATTCTTTTAATATCCATGAATGAATTTCTAGACATTTATGTTGGTAGACAGACATTTCAAAGGTTATGAAATTATCCCGATTGATTAAATATCTTATTACAGTGAATTCATTCCTTGAGTGCCGCACATGCGGATTTTAATCTTAATAGAATTTTACTTTTCTTTCATTCACAAACCTCTGAAGTCCAGCGTTTTACGGACACCCTGACTACTTATAGTAGTTGTTTAACAGTGTTGTCTTTTGAGTTTATTTTGTGGAGCAAAACAACAGATGGAGGAAGGACAGTGCTGTGACTTTTAAGTCAACTTGCAGTTTGATAAAGCTCTTTCTCTCTCTCTCTACAACTCGACGTCAAGGTCGCAAAACCGCACGACTGTAATGCGTTAAACTTGGGGAGTATGTAAGTCGTGAGCAGTTAGTTTTTTTCTGTCTTTTTAGCCTGCATTCAGCCCGTTGGAGGGGACCAAAATAACGGTGAGCAACCTTCATCCGCGGGTTAGCGAGGAGGACATAATGGTGAGTCCATCCCTCCGTTTGTTTTTCACTCCAGTCTCTTCTGTGTGTTGTCCTTTAACGTGCTCAGTGTCTAAATCGGAGCGCGGCTCTGCTGCTTGTTTGTCCAAAAAGGAGCTGTTCTGCGTGTGCGGCGCTTTGAAGCGAGCGCGCCTGGTGAAGGTGGGCGTAGCCGAGGTGGTGTTTGTCCGTAAGGAGGACGCTGTCAGCGCATACAGGAAGTACAACACTCGCTGCTTGGATGGTGAGTGTAATAGAAACGTCACGGGTTCTGAAACCCGTTGGTTCTGCAGCCGGGATGTTTTGGTTGAGTATTTTTGCTTGTTCTCTGCCAGGCCAACCCATGAAGTGCAACCTTCATATTCAAGGAACCGTCATCACCTCCGATCAGCCGATCCTACTGTGAGTCAGTCACTTTACTAGAACTCACCTTCATCTGCACTCAGTCAATAGTTTAAGGTTTTCATGAGATCCATTTTATCTTAACTTTTTTATTTGAGATCCTCTTAAAGTAATGCATAACCTTTAAGTGGAAGGAAGATCAGGTCTGTCACACCATCAAACTTTGCTGGACGATAGTTATTGCAATGAATGATGTTGTTTTGTGGAACATTTTCAAGTTATATTTCATAAACATAATTTCAAAGATCAATAAACTTTCAATTCTAATCAACATTTAACACTGGATTTGGAAGGCATTTTAAATATCCAAATAAATAAAAACAACAAGAAATAAAATAACTTGTGAATTATCTGTAAAACAGATTGAAGACTTTTCTGCTCCAGTTGTTTGTAGAAGAAGAGAAAACAGAAAAACAATACATCATCGTTGATCTCGCATTAACTTTGTAATGTGATTTATTGCTTATTTTTACATTTGAGACCTTCCTAGAGATTATTTGCTCGACCAACCAGGGGCTTCTTAAAACAGCTGTTCATTTTTATTTCAGGGTATCAGAGTAAATGGAGCAAAATCAAGAGTGAAGCCAAACCATCCAGAGTTAAAGTTTGGAAACTGTTGTGAATCAGAGAATTCATAAACTAGTTCCTACGTTTTCTCTAGAATTAAATGTGAATGTATTTCTCCAGCTGAAAACAATCAACAAGTCGATGTGAATAGTTGTTCAGGTGGACAAAGAGACAAAGGGTCTGTTTTCTTTTTGTGTCCTACAGGAGACTCAGCGACACGCCAGGCGCTGGCGGCGGCACGAAGAAAGACGGCCTGCCTCCCTCTCTGTCCCGCCCCAGCGGCCAGCGCGCCTCCTCTCAGCCCACGGCCGAAGTGGACCCCCAGACCATCCTCAAAGCTCTGTTCAAGTCCACCACGCAGTCCACCTCCACCACCGAGGCCCCCAGCTCACAGACCACCGCCTTCCGCATCAAGATATAGAAGAATCAAGACACGGGCAGCCCGCAGTCTCTGATGAAACTGGTTTTTACACATTTCATTTCATCGAGTACTCGGAACAAGGGGGGAGGAAATTGATGATCGGCGTCTTCTTCTGTTTTTGGTTTTGTGCAATCAGATGTTACCTGGACCAGATGGAGAAGCTTTGATATTGTGAGTCGGCATAAAGAGGACGTGTGTGCTGCGTTCTTTTATGAAATCGATTATTATTTTTTGTTTTTTGTTTTTTTTTACTCTGCAGAAACTTGCAGTTTCCAAAAGAGAATAATTGAAAACCGAAGTTATTTCAAAGAATCAACATCATTTAAAGAAACGCACACATACTGGGTGTGTTTAGTTATTAGGTCGTCCGTCAGAGTTGGATCTATCCATTACAGGATATTTCTGGTTTCTTTAGCAATCCCTCCTCCTCCCCGCTTTGGGACCTATTGAATCCATCTAACAGTTCTGCTTGTAAAAAAAAATTATAATAATTGCTACATGTAACACAGAAGTACCATGTTTCCATTGGATTTCCAGTTTGTGTGGAATTCAGTGCTGTTTGTAACAAGTTTTTTGTCATGCTTGTTTAGGTTTTGGAGCAGAATTAAACACAATTTGTGGTAGTTACATTCTGTTTATCAAAAGCCTGTAAATTACTTTTAGGTTGCTCTGTCAGTTGCGGTTGTTGGATCCGTTTGTGAAATGTTTCCATTAAATATTTAGCTTTGTAGATCTAGTCTGAAGGGTAACTTCTTTTATTTTATTTTTTTTCTGTAGATTTGATCACAAAAATAAAAAAAAAAGCATACAAATCTTCTAATAACATGGAAAGAGGTTACAGTTGAGTAGTAGTATTCTAATATTGTACACTTATGATTTTTTATAATATCTTTACATCTTTAACCAGATGTCACAAAGATGGATACAGTGTGCCAGAACCACAAATGTCCTCGTGTCATTCAACATTTTACGTCACACTCAAACACACACAAATCAAACTGATTTTCGCATCAAAAGTCTCAGTGTTCTTAAAGGGCCGGTTGTGCCAGAATCTATCGATAGAACCCATTGAACTGTTAAAATATCAATAAATATCTGTTGGTTTCAGCATTCATTAAGTGTTCCTTAAAATGAAATAATTGAGCACCTTCTTAGTTCATCCAGAATTGTTTTTTTCCTTTTTTTTGTTTCATCAAAATGACAGATTTTGTGGTGTTAATTTAGAAATAATTGTAAGAATTTTTTATGATATTGTATGACGTTAGATGTGACTTTTTATTAATTGGCGAATTGATCACAGACCGCGACTTTACATAAAGTAAAGCCGAGGCAGCAGTCACTTAAATACAATACTTTGGGTCAGTTTTGAGAAGAAAAGAAATTGCTGTAATACCTGAAAAAAAACAAAGTGAATTTTGCATGAAAGCGTAGGGACTTATTGATGTAATTTTATTGCTCGCTCTATATGGTTGGTGGAGAAATCTGTTTGTAGGTGTAATTTCAAGCCAAAAATGCCTTTTAGAGGAAGGCAGATGGGTTTGGAGAGATGGACTCAAATTACCAGCATGTCTCATTTCTTCAAACTTAAATCATTATCTCCAATTAGCACCGCCACGCAAGAGTCAATATAAGAATGAGTTTTCTGGCAGCGAGGATCTGACGGGCAGAACATGGAGCAGCTGTGTCAAACTCGCTTTCATTTTAGGCCATGTCAAAAATCTGAATGCTCTTAAAGGGCCGGTTGTTCCAGAACATATTGATAAAACCCATGAAACTGGAGAAATATCAATGAATAGCTTTTTTTCAGCAGCCGGTACGTGTTTCTTATAATGAAAGTATATTGAACTTCATCCAATTTTTGCAGTATTTGCGCTTATATATGACGTAAAATTTTACTGCTTTTTTTGGACATCAGGCTGAGTCAGCAGACGCTTAAACCCAAAGTTTTTGACTACTTTTGAGAAAAAAATGGGGGTAAAATCAGACAAAAAAAAAATAAATATGGGTATTTGTTGATTTTTCTGTGAACTTTGTGGAAAACTGGAGGGACTTACTGATGTAATTCATAATTAAAGCTGCAAGCAGCCTCGAACGGCCCTCGCAGCCAAGCGCCGCTCCGGCCTATTGTCCACCACGGGGTACGAGCAACCGCCGCCTCACGCCAGCCACCACAGAAGCTCTCACGCAGTTTTCAGCAACTCCGTCCGCACCGCGGAAGCTGTTGCTGAGTTTCCATCAACGCTTCCCACGTTCCAACACAGAAGTTGTTCCGCAGTTTCCGTGCCCGTCCACCAGGCGGTACGCACTGATGCGTTCGGAGGCGCTCCTTGACGATGCAAAAAATGTGGTGCAGATTCATTGGTTTAGCGAGGAAATATAGCTGGCGGATTAATGTAGGACGCGCAGTGGAGTCAAAATATATTTCAATGCTGTTGTTCTCTTTAGAGGTCAACAAAGGTCATACGTATCCAATTTGGCGTCAGTGGGATGATCCACGTGTCATTTACAGCCGATCATATGCACATGGCGAAGTACTACAGTTCGTCATTTTTCATCATTTTCAGCTGTGTTTCTAAAGCACTCTATTTCATTGTTGGAGTAATACTTACTCAGAGTGGCGAATTACTGAAATGGTTTGTAAGAAGTAAGAAAACGCTACATTTACTGCATGATTTAATTCAACAAAAATTATCTGAAACATTTCTATCCTTTTAGAAATGTCATGGCAACGGTCTCACAAAGTTTTCGCGCCCATCCGCCCGTGGATCTGTCATTGGTGGAGGAACACTGACACCTACTGGCGAAATACTGATATTGTTCTTCATCCTGTTTATCTGCTGTTTCATTTGTGGAGCAATACTGACCCCAAGTGGCGAATTACTGAAATGGTTTATAAACGGCAAAAATGGGATGAAAATCTGAACTTCAATCAAAAATGGCCGACTTCCTCTGGGGTTTAGACCATGGCTCCAAGAGACTTTTTTGTAAGTCCTGACATGGTACACACGTGTACAAAGTTTTGTAATTGTAGGCTAAAGCATGGCTTGGGGCTGATCATTTAAAATTTTCTAGGGGGCGCTATAGAGAAATTAGGCCACACCCTACAAATATTGTGATGGATTCCTGTCGGGGAGTGGATGAAGATCCATCCTTGTGAGTTTGGAGCAGCTGGGACCGAAACTGTGGAATTGAGAGCAAATCATATGGCGATGGCGTTACAGGTCACTTCGCCACGCCGCCACGCCCACCTGCTCCATCGTAGCTGGTCGGGATTAGAATCCTCAACACACCAACATGGCTTCTGTGTCTGGGCATAGTTTCATGTTGATGAGGTCAAAGGGGTCAGATAGCGACCATTAACAGTAAAACATTACACTTCCTGTTCTCAGGGGGCGTGGCTTAAGTGATGTCATCATTCGACCATAGGGTATTGTAGGACACCCGATGATGATCAATCACAGTAACTTTGGTGCCTCTGTGAGTTTCTGTGTAGGAAATATAGCAGTTTATGTTTTTTGGCGAGTAGGTGAACTTTGACCCCTGCTAACCCTCCTTCAGCATTCTCAAAAACTCACCGTTTTGATAACTTTAGATGGGACATGCCTTATGAACAGACTGACCAAGTTTGAAGCCGATCAATCGAAATCCCTAGGAGGAGTTCGATCAAATACGGAGGCTGTAAACGGCAAAAATGGGGTCAAAATCTGAACTTCAATCTAAAATGGCCGACTTCCTGTGGGGTTTAGACCATGGCTCCAAGAGACTTTTTTGTAAGTCCTGACAAGGTACACATGTGTACAACGTTTCGTAATTGTAGGTTAAAGCATGGCTTGGGGCTGATCATTTAAAGTTTTCTAGGGGGCGCTATAGAGAAATTAGGCCACGCCCACCAAATATTGTGATGGATTCCTGTCGGGGAGTGGATGAAGATCCATCCTTGTGAGGTTGGAGCAGCTGGAACAGAAACTGTGGAATTGAGAGCAAAACGTATGGCGATGGCGTTACAGGTCACTTCGCCACGCCGCCACGCCCACCTGCTCCATCGAAGCTGGTCGGGGTTGGAATCCTCAACACACCAACATGTCTTCTGTGTCTGGGCACAGTTTCATGTTGATGAGGTGAAAGGGGTCAGATAGTGAAAGTTCACAGTAAAACATTACACTTCCTGTTCTCAGGGGGCGTGGCCAAAGTGATGTCATCATTCGACCATAGGGTATTGTAGGACACCCGATGATGATCAATCATAGAAACTTTGGTGCCTCTGTGAGTTTCTGTGTAGGAGATATAGCAGTTTATTTTTTTACGGCGAGTAGGTGAACTTTGACCCCTGCTAACCCCCCTTCAGCATACTCAAAAACTCACAGTTTTGATAACTTTAGATGGGACATGCCTTATGAACAGACTGACCGAGTTTCAAGCCGATCAATCGAAATCCCTAGGAGGAGTTCGATCAAATACGGAGGCTGTAAACGGCAAAAATGGCCTCAAAATTGGACCTTCAATCCAAAATGGCTGACTTCCTGTGATACTTGCACTATGACATTAATTGTAAATTATGAGCGTCCTGGGGAGCTCTACAAGTGTACCAAATTTCATGTCTCTAGGATAAAGTAAGTGAATAGCAAAGGGTCCTTTGAAAATTTCTAGGTGGCGCTATTGAGGCATTTCTTGTGGGATTTTTGTGATGACCTTAAAAATCAAAAATTTTTAAACAGGCTTAAGGCCTCCGCCAAGTTTGGTGAGTTTTCCAATATGATAAGGCCCCCAAAAAGCCCCCCAAAGAGGTGGGAAGAAAATAATAATAATAATTAAAGCTGCAAGCAGCCTCGAACGGCCCTCGCAGCCAAGCGCCGCTCCGGCCTATTGTCCACCGCGGGGTACGAGCAATCGCAGTACCCCGAAGCCACCACAGAAGCTCTCACGCAGTTTTCAGCACCTCCGGCCGCACTGCGGAAGCTGTGGCTGAGTTTCCATCAATGCTTCCCACGTTCCAACACAGAAGTTGTTCCGCAGTTTCCACGCCCGTCCACCAGGCGGTACGCATCTATGCGTTCGGCGGCTATCCTTGACGATGCAAAAAAATGTGGTATAGATTCATTGCTTTAGCGAGGAAATATAGCTGGCGGATTAATGTAGGACGCGCAGTGGAGTCAAAATATATTTCAATGCTGTTGTTCTCTTTAGAGGTCAACAAAGGTCATACGTATCCAATTTGGCGTCAGTCGGATGATCCACGTGAAATTTACAGCCGATCATATGCACATAGCGAAGTACTACAGTTCGTCATTTTTCATCATTTTCAGCTGTGTTTCTAAAGCACTCTATTTCATTGTTGGAGTAATACTTACTCAGAGTGGCAAATTACTGAAATGGTTTGGAAGAAGTAAGAAAACGCTACATTTACTGCATGATTTAATTCAACAAAAATTATCTGAGACATTTCTATCCTTTTAGAAATGTCATGGCAACACACTCACAAAGTTTTCACGCCCATCCGCCCGTGGATCTGTTTATCATCGGTGGAGGAACACTGACACCTACTGGCGAAATACTGATATTGTTCTTCATCCTGATTATCTGCTGTTTCATTTGTGGAGCAATACTGACCCCAAGTGGCGAATTACTGAAATGGTTAATAAACGGCAAAAATGGGATCAAAATCTGAACTTCAATCTAAAATGGCCGACTTCCTCTGGGGTTTAGACCATGGCTCCAAGAGACTTTTTTGTA